GACCTACAGCCCAGGCCCTGGCACGGGCCAGTTTGCAGAAGCCGCTGTGCCTGAATCAGGACCCTGTCTGGTGGGCACAGACCAAGGCCAGACCAGAGAGGAGAGGCCTGCGGTCAAGAGACCCCGGCCTGGGTGGGCGCCCCGGCAGAAGGGAGGCACCTAGACATCCCTACCCCCTGCTCCCCATCTGGGGAGCCTGTGACTGGCTGGGTTTGGTCACTATCCAAGGGAAAGTGTTTAGATCTGCTGAGAGCCGGCCGTTCCCTCGGTCAATATTTGGAGTGCTCAATCCTCCTGTCCCCGCCTGCTGGGCTCGGCTGCTCCAGGCATCTGGGCCCAGGCCCCCCAGCGCCCCGCCACGAGGAACAGGTCCTCCCAAACAGGCCCCGGGGACGCCACCCGCTCCCACGGGAAGCCGTCCCATCTGAAGGTCATGCAGCCCCATGCCTCCTCCTTCCAGTCCTGCTGGCATCCCTGACGGAACCACGTTTTCCTGAACACGGCTGCCCCTGAACTCCCTCCCCAGGTCCCTCATCAGAGAGGGCAACGCACAGCCACGTTCACCATGTGGCAGCCGGTAGCCAGGCCGGCCGAGGGCTGGATGTGAACACGTGGACAGCGATCGGGGCCCGACCCGGGGAAGGCGCTGCACCTGCCTCTGAGTGCGCAGACGCGCCCACACCCGGGGCTGCGACCGGGGGGCCCCCCAGGCCTCCTCAGCCCCTCAGAGCTGCCCTGTCCCTTCCCTGGGTCTGCAGAGCTGAACCAACATGCTCCCCGCCAGGTCCCGCAGCCCCTCCTCAGGCCCTGCTCCCCAGCCAGGGCGGGAGCAGTGGCCACTCCAGGCCGGCCAGGCCCTGACGCAGCCTGGGAACCTCTTATCCCCGTTCCGGCAAAGCTGTGAGAGGATGTGCCCCCGCCAAGCGCCCCTTCCCCAGGGGCACAAGCAGCTAAATCACCGCCGCCCAGCACCCAGCGGCCGCCCCTCCCACAGCTCCCCTGAGCGCGCTCCCTGCTCCTCTGGCTTCCGCAAGGACATGGCGGCGTGCTCCCTCCCGCAGTGACACACTGAGGTCGGCTGCACATACCACAGCCGGCGCTTCGCACAGGACAGGCGCTGCCAATGCCTGCGGCCAGCTTCCTCTCCTCTGCAGCGAGAAAGAAATGGGAGCCACTTTGCGGCCCCAGGCTGAGCTGTGGCTCAGAAGGCGGCTCCTCTCCCCGGCCTCCCGCCGGCCACCAGGGCCCTGGCCGCTGCCTCGGCCTCCAGGCCCCGCGCAGGCCTTCCCGGCCACACGCCTCCTTCTGCAGAGCGCAGGCCCGCGGCCGCAGCACGGAACCACCGGCATCCTGAGCGCCTCGCAGATGCCACGACGGCCAGGCAGAGCAGCGCCCTGGACCAGACGCCCCGCTCCATTGGGGAGGGGCCAGAGGGTCTCCTGCAGTGAGGGCCGGGGTGGCCCCACTCAGGGCAGTGGGAGCCCTGAGGGCCCTGTGCCCATTCCCGCTGCTGCTGTAAACGGGCAGGTGATCCTGTCCCAGCTTAGCGGTCGGAGCCCAAAATGGGTCTCGGGAGCCAGTCAGGTGCTGGCTGCTCCTCCAGGGGCTCCAGGGAAATGCCCCCGGCTCATCCAGCCTCCCCAAGGCCCTGCATGCCTGCCTGGTGACCCCAGGCAGTGATGACCTCACTCTGACCTCTGACCCATCGTCACATCTCCTACCTCTCACAAGGACCCCCCCATAGCCAGGATGATCCCCCCCCAGGTCCCTCTGCCATGGGGGTGACACCACAGGACCTGGTGACCAGCACGGGGACTCCTGGGAGGAGCACAGGGTTCTGGCCACCACACTCCCCCCGAGCCCGAACTCTGGGTCCCAGGAGCCCGAGGGGCCTGGGGAGGGATGGCCCCCTTGCACCTGGCCCAGGATCCACAGAGAAGGGACCCTTTATCGAATCAAATGGCCCTCACAACCCCACCTCCAGCGATGCCCCATGACGCGCCCTGGCCGATGTCAGCTCTCACTGGGAGAGGGGCCCGTGGGGAAGCCGCCTCGAGCGTGCGCCTCCGGGGCACGTCCTTACGGCAGCCAACTGGCTGCTCCCCCGAGCCCCTGCCCCACAACCTGGGACACCCTGTGCTGGACGCACGTTATTTCACAGCTGCCATGGCTCAGTCACAAGTGGGCCCAGGAGAAGGCGCCACAGCCCTGTGCCTCAGACCACCAGGTCCCAGCCCTGAGGGGCGGGAGGCGCCGTGGCCTGAGGCTGAGGGCTGAGGGCTGAGGGGTGGCCTGGGCCTGGGGTTGAGGGCTGGCCTGGGCCTGGGCCAGGGGGCTGAGGGCTGGCCTGGTGCCTCACCATTTTTCAATGTCTGGTGTTGGCCACCAGGGACTCAGGGCTCCGCAACAGCTGCTGACCTGGCACAGACAACGGGGCCAGCCGGCGGGGAGTTGGGGGGAAGCCTGGGGGAGGCCAGGACAGCCACAATGCCGGCCCTGGAATGAGTCAGGACCCCAACACCTTCCAGGACCAGAGGGTGTCCCCGGAGAGAGAAGCTGGAACCGTAAGAGATGAGTCCCTCACTACGCTCCCCCTCGACGGGGCACCCATGGGAGCAGAGCGAACCGCCAGCTTTGCGGCATCCAAGGGAAGCCAGGATGGCCCCCGGGGCACCGGCTTGCGCCTGCCCATTCCCCACCCCCAACCCCCCACCTCCCAGGAGAGCAGTTGGGCAGCAGCACGTGGTGGGGAGATGGGGAGCCCAGAGAACCCACAGAGTTGTCCGCCCGGCACCTACAGCTTGGTTTCCTCACCTGAAAGCCCCCTGCAGCCCCATCCCAGCAGGCCCAGCAGGCCAGGCCCCGCCCTGGCAGGAGCCTGAGGGGCCCTGAGGAGAGGA